GCTCTTCCTTCCCTGGCACACCTCCACTTTCACTGCTCATGGATTTTGTCAGATCCTTGAAGGTCTTGGTTATTTGCCACCTCTTCCACACCATATTTCCTAGTCCTGTTTGGGCATCTTTGGCATCTTTGGTATCTGAGTTTGAAGAACTTCTTATGTCTGGCTCTTTTACAATAATTGTAGGCGTTTCTGCTACAACACAACATGTGTGTTACTGAAAAAGCTTATGCTCTATGAAATCACATGCAAAAGTAACAGAACTTTGCCTATGGGAGTACAGATTGGGAGCAGATGACTCAAAAGCTTTGCTACTTTTCACAGAACAGTAGCAAAAACAAGAACTGGTATCTCCGAAGATGACTTAAGTGAACCAGGCAGGCAGCATGTCTGGAAGTTGCCTGAGGATATTAAAACTTCACATACAAATAAAGGCTTTTGAAAGCTGAGACAATGTAAGTGGAACTGGGATCTTTGAACCATTCGAGCTGCTGTTAGGATGGGCCCTAGAGGAGGTTGCCAGTGGTACAGGGCCTAAGTATAAAATGGTCTTAAGATAGAGCTGAAAGGGACTTATAAACTGGTAACACCGGGAGATTTTTCTATAACACTGGACTTTTACTCCCATTGTCCCAGATCTGAAGGCCTATGAAAACCTGTGTATAACCTACCAAACTTCTGTACTATGCAGATATTATTCCTCTACTGACAGATAGCAAATGACCCAATTAATGTGACATTTTGCTTTGAATGACAGGTGGTAATAGGGTAGCACTTAAGAAGACAGAAAAGCATTGAAATAAAAGGCAGACATTCAGGAGAAAAAAAAATTGGTTCTTTAAATGTATTGTTAAGATACAAGCAGATCAGGGCTGGCAGGTGGCATGGTTAAAGGTGCTGGACTCCTACATGGTCAACCAAGGTTCGAGTCCTGGACCTGGCGGCTTGCTCTTTCTCTCGCTCTCTCTTTCTGTCTCTCTGTCTCTCCTTGCTCAAAATTGAAAATAATGATAATAAATAAATAATTCTTTAAAAAAAAAAAACAAAAACAAAAAACAAAAAAAACGACAAAAGCAAATGGCAGAATGGTTATATCGCAGGACTCCCACATGGCTGACTGTGGTTTGAGTCCCGGACCTGGCGGCTTAAAACTCATGCCTGGAGCATGGGTGTGCATGCCCATAATCCCGAGAGGAGAATGGAGAAGAAGGGATTGTGGCATGGCCATCCCCTATGGGGAGGGCTATTTTTTGCTTTCTGTCTCTCTCTCTCTCTGTGTTGCTGGCAAGCACACTTACCCTATAGCAAAAATTTCTCTTAAAAAAATTGTTAAAATTGATGTAACCCTAAAGACCAGTCTAGAAAAAAAAAAGGAAAAAGCCAAAATTTATTCCAATAAGTTTAACTTAAGAAATAGACAATTTTCTTATCAAATACAACTGATAATTTCTGACACAAGAATAAACAACACAGCCAAACAGTGAGATGTATAGAGTACATATTGCATGAGTCTAACTAGATGAAGTTTAAGAACTGGCGAAATTAAGTGGTGGTGGGAAAGGTTACCTAGAGGGAGGAAATGACTGGGAAGCAGCTTCAGGAAGACCTTTGGGACGTGATATTTTATATCTTGATCTGAGTGCATCTGTGAATATGCACACATCGATAGAACTGTACAGTTAAAATTTGTGCCTTTACTGCATGTATACTATGTGACAAAGTCAGGCTTCTCTGAACCCTGTTGTCAACTGGAACTTATCCTTGGCCTGTTGATCCCAGTTTTAGCAAGGAATGCTGTCAGTTTACTCAGAATCCCTTCTTCTCCCTTATTATTAATCGGGCACTTCTTTCTTCACCTTACCTATCTAATTATGTTATTCTTCCTTGACCTTCAACAGTTAAACCACTTTCTCTTTGTAATTGTCCAACCTGGCATATTGGTTATTAATCTCCACCTGTCTCTTGTATTTGGAGCTGAGTTTACTCTTTCTTCCTATTTCAATAGCCTCGAATGAAATTATTCCAGTTGTTTTTAACAAGTGTCCAGTGTATTTTTTTTACAAGAACCTTAATTTATAATTTTAAAATAAAATAAAATTTGCAAGTGGCATAGTGGTTAAGGCACTAGACTCTCAAGTGGTCAACAGTGGTTTGAGTCCTGGACCCTGTGGCTTGAACTCTTGCCAGGCACATTTGTGTTCATGCCCAAATCCTGAGACGAGAATGGAGGAGAAGGGATTGTGATGTGACCATCCTTCTTACGGGGGGGTGTTTTCTAGTTTTCTGTCTCTCTGATTTTTTGGTAAATGCAGGCACCCTATAGCAAAAATCTCTCAAAAAGACCTACAATAAAATAAAATAAAATAAAATAAAATAAAATAAAAATTAAATCCTAGTGGACAAGAATGAGATCCTGTTCATCTTTGTCTTCTTATCATTACACTAGACTCTAACCAGCAGTGGTGTGAATACTTTAGGGGTTAGAAATATCTGAAATGGTGGCCAGCCTGTGGCCTGGTGGTTAAGCAATCCAGATCCCACATGGCCCTGGTGGTGTGTAAAACACACTTGGGCACATGTGCATACCCCAAATCCTAACAGGATGGATAAATAGAAGAGAGGGGACTGCGGCATGACCATGCCCCATGGAGGTGGGGGATTTCCTCCCTCTCTTTCTCTCTCTGTGAGGCTATATGAGGGCAGCTGCCTCTCTGGCAAAATTTAAAAACTAAAAAAAAAAAAAAAGAAAGGAAATATTTTTGTTTTTGTTTTTGGAGAGGGTTTTTTTGTTATAGGGTGCATGTGCTCACCAGAAAGACAGAGAGAGACAGAGAGACAGAAAGCAAAAAATCACCCCTCCGGGAAGGATGGCCATGCTGCAATCCCTTCTCCTCCATTCTCCTCTTGGGATCCTGGGCACACGTGCACACGCGCCCGGTGTGAGTTTAAGCCGCTGAGTCTGGGACTTGAACCATGGTTGACTACGTGGGAGCCCAGTGACATAGCCATTACTCCAGCTGCTGGTCCTGGAAATATTTCAAACTTTGACTTTGTCACTTTATAAATGAATGACTCAGAAGGTACTAGGAGATTCTCTGAGCTTTGGTATGTTTATCTGTAAAAATGGTAAAGTAATGTCTGCCTCACAGTTGCTGTAGGTGTGAGATAATAAGCTTAATGTGCTTTGCATAGTGCCCATCCTAGGAGAGCAGGATTATGACAATATTTGCTGTTCATACAGTTTATATGAAAAGTTGCATGGCGTTATTTTATAATCATTGGTTTATATTCCAAAGACGTAAAACTGAAAAAGCACAATAGTGGGCATGAAAGTCTTTTCCCTCCATGCACTGCCCAGAGTGGTGATAAAGGGAGCTTTAGACTCTGTGAGAAGACCCTGGGACCATCGCAGACCCCATGTGTATGTTGACTCTGTCTTGGGGCATCTTGTGAATATAGAAATATTAACCAAAGCTCCCTGGGCCTGAGTCTTTATTGATACATTAGAAATAATATATACTTCAGTGGGTTGATATATTAAATAAATAATTAGTAGAAAGCATAGTGCCAATATGGAGGCAATCACTCGATAAAAATAATTACTTTTATTATTGTGACTTTTCTAGTTATTATTTATTACTAGAAAAGTGCCATATTTACAGTAGTAGGCCTGCCTTCAAGTTCCATAGTGCTAACTGCTAACTAAGTTGCATCTTATCTCTGGATTCATCCTTTCTACTTGTAGGGAGTAGGGGTGGAATGAGAGAGAGGAGAGGTGTAGGACTTAAATGAAAAAATGCGTGAGTGAGATTGAAGCATTGTTCAGAGTTATCTGAAATCACATGGCTTTTTCTACTCTTGAAGGAAAGCAATTCTGAAATGTTTGCTTTGTATCAAGCATGGCCCACTGCTTATCTTTTAAGAGGTGAAGCACCAGCTCTGTGCTCTGGTGTGGTGAGGACAGGATCCATATCCACTGACCTTCCTCCGCTGGCTTGGCTTGGCTTTCAGTTGCTGATGTGCTCTCAGCCTCAGGCATTTTCTTAATGAACTGGCCAAGGTAATGAAGACGAGCCTGAGAAGCCTAAAGAACAAACATGACCAGCTTTTTATGCTTCTCGTAAACCAACAACCAGTACAGACAACCATATGTTCTCATTACTCAAATGAAACAGGAAAATGGGAATAGGGCCGTTGAAACCAGGGTAGCTCTTCTTAATTATCAAATAAATTCAAATGCTGAACTATCTATGATGTTGGCAGTTTTTTTTTTTTTTTTTTTTTTTTTTTTTTGAGAATAGATGAAGAAGCGGTCTTAAAACGAATATACCGGCCATCCAGTTGCTCCTGAACCTTTTTCATCAACCCAATAACCCTGAGTTCAGACAGGAGATACTTAAGTAAGGAACAGTGCTTCACCAGGGCCATGACTCTCATATCAATTACAGGGAGTGTCCCGAAGCATGCATATTCCACAAGAGGAGAGCACATGCCTTTTATCTTGGCCATTCAAAGTGCAGGACCATGCATATTAAACACTTTTATGCTTTCTTACATCTGCTTTTAAGGGTAGATGCAAATATAGTGCAGGCTACAAAAAAGAAATCGTGGGTCATCAGAAAAGTCATGACACATTTTTGCATAGAAAATAGATAGTTCCTGGTTTGGGTCTATTAAGTGGCCCCATTCCATGCTTTGCTTTTGCAAGTCAATATATCCAATATATCCAAATGTGGTCTCAACATGTAGTTAATCTATGTCTGATAAAATTCCAGGTGCCCTTCCTAAAGGAAAGGCTGTGTGCTTTCACCAATATGACTATTCCTTTAGAACATGCCAAAAAATAAAAGCAAAAACTGGCGGCTTTTCCAAGCCAGGTAACCTTAATTGCTCTTCCTGGCTCAGCAGTCTCCCAGGCTTGCTTCATGGCTCGGATTTCATCTGCTCGTTCTGTATCTTTTTTCACCTCAAAGAACTCCACTTCATTGTGTTCAGTGACCAACCTCAAAATCCAGTAGGGCTTATTGGGATCTTCTTGTTGAGAGTGAACAGTGGGTACCTAATAAAGTAAAATAAATTCCTTTGAGTCTTTTGAGAAATGAATGCCTACTTTCAACAGGTCAGTCAATAAACCCTATGATACATAATTGCACTAGCAACTACTTACCCAATAGAAATGAAAATGTATATTCACACATGTCTTATACAATAATGTTAACTGCACGCTTATTCTTAATAATATAAAAGGAAACTGCATAAATGTCTATCAGCTGATGACATTGTAATGTTCACATAACTGAGTAGTACTTAATATGAAAAACTAGTGAACAACTAATAAATACCATGTCGTGGATGAATCTCACAGGCAAATAATATTCTGAAATAAAGAAGATGAGCACAAAAAAAGTACACCTTGTACGGTTTATTCATGTGAAAGTCCAGGCCAGGCAAAACTTATCTATGGTGGCCAAATACAGATGAGTGGTCACGTAGAGGTGAGATGTAGGAATGACAGAATCAATTGCAAAGAAGCTTGAGGAACTTTCTGAGCATACAACAATGATCTATGAATCTGTGCTTTGATGAAGGATAGATTACATGGTGAATGCACTTGTCAAAATTCATTGAGTTGTACAATTAAGATGTGTGCATTTCACTGAAAGCAAATTTCACTAAGAACTGGACATAGTGAGACTCTAAATTATACTTATATCCACCTAGTACCACTTTACAAAAATGAGAGCTAGGATAATTGATCATGCATGTGCATGTGTGTCCCAAATCCCAACAGGATGTTGAAATGGAGGAGAGGGGATTGTGGTATGACTTCTCCCCATTGGGAGAGCTTTCTCCCTCTCCCTCTCTCTGGTGAATGCACATACCTTCCAGCAATTAAAAAAATCCAACTATTGGTTTACTTCAGACTAGTTCATTAGACCGTGAGTTCATGGAAAATAAGGACTGTATAATATTAATTAATCATAATGGCCCAAGTCCCAGTAATGGTATCCTACAAACTAAAATTTCAGTTAATGCTTTTTGATACAAAACTAGGGAATGGAGCTTAAGGAAAGTCCAAAGAACATCCTCGAGTCATCTAGATAATAACCGGAATCAGGGAGATTGATTTTTTTTCGTAGTTTCAACCTCAGAAGGGATGGGTAAGTCAGGACCCAATAAACCTAGATCCATTAAGTTACTCCAATAAAAAAAATAAAATACCATTCCTACCTGGGGCTCAAAACGAGGCACTTGTTTTTCTTTGGCTGTCTTTTCTTTTTCAGAAGACTTTTCTTTGCCTTTCCTTGTTGTTTTGGAAGTGCCAGAAGATTTTTGCCCCTCGCTAATAGTATGTGAATCTGGGCTTCCCAAGGTAATTAATTCTTCATGTTTCTCAACATGAGCTAGACAGACAGAAAAGCAGAAACCAGTGAATCATGCAATAAAAATAAAATCATTTTATAAAGGGATATGGTAGGCATAAGGGAAGCAAGCCAGTCAGAGGGAAATGGTTAATCTAAGAAAAAATGACTTTTTCTTTCCTTTTTTGTTTAGTTTTGTTTGTCTTTGCTATGTGCTCATGGGTGAGAGAGAGAAAAAGAAAGAGAAAAAAAATGAGCAATCACTCCCTGGAAGGATAGCCATACTGCAATCCTGTCTCCGTTCTCCTCTTGGGATTTTTGGCATGCATGCATATGTGCCTCATGTGATTTTCAGGCCATGGGGTCTGGACTTGAATTGCATAGTTGACTATGTGGGATCCAGCCACCCTAACCACCATGTCACTTGCTAGTCAAACGCTTCCCTCTTTTTCTAAACAAACAAATCTTTTATAAAGGTATGTTTGGCTTCATTTTATAAATTTGAGATATAATTTATATACCAAACAATCACTCTTGAAGTATATTTATCAGTAGGTTTTGATAAATATATTCACAGTGTTATGTAACCACCACCAATCGAATTTGTTTTTAATCTAAATGTCTCTTATTTTATTTCTTCATTGTAGCCCTGGTTAGTGCCTTAAGTACAATATGGAATTTACTTATTTTTGCTGTAATCTATAGTAATCACATTTTTATGCTTGCTTTGGATTTAGTTTCTCTGTTTTTTTTTTTTTTAAGGTGGAAAGTTAAGGTATTGATTTGAGATTTCTCATCTTTTTAAATGTAAGCATTTATAGGTATGCATTTTCCTTTTAGCACTGCTTTCACTACATCTCAGTTAGGGTATATTTTGTCTCTAAGTATGTAATTTTTCTTATTTTTTTTCTTGATTCATTGGTTAAAAGTATATTGTTTAATTTCCACTTATTTATGAAATTCCCAATTTTATTTTTGTGTCTAACTTCCTTCAGTTTTTATCAGAGAGCATATTTCTGTTTTTAAGTCTTTTACATTTACTTATCTTATTGCTTGACATAATGTATATCTTTCAGAATGTTACAAGACCACTTAAGAAAAATATGAATTCTTCTATTGTTGAACGAAATATTCTGTAGATAATAGGTCAAGTTAGTTTAATGTTGTTTAAATCTTCTATTTCTTTACTGATTTTCTGTTTAATTGTTCTATCCATTATTAAAGTTAGAGAATTGAAATTTTCAACTATTATTGTTAAATCATCAATTTTTTCTTTCAGTTTTATAAATATTTTTCTTCACATATTTGAACTCTGTTACTTGGTTTATATATAGTTGATATGCTTCTTAGTTACCCTTTTACCTTTATAAAATGTACTCTTTTGTCTTTAGTAACTTGGAGTTTATCCTATTTGGAGTTCACCTTCTTGAATGTGCCAAACAATGTTTTTGAATAAATTTAGGATATTTTCCTCCATTATTTCTTCAAATAGTCTTCTGACACTTTTTCCTCTCCAACTCAGTTCTCGTTATACATATGTAGGTATGTGAGAGCATCCCATGTGTCTCTGAGTATCTCTTTCTTTTTTTAATTCTTTATCTTCAGATTGTATAATCTTAAGCAAACCATCTCTCATCTTAGGGAGAAGGCATTTCACAATGAGCTAGCTTTGAGTCAGTTTTGTAAGTGGAGTCATTTAGGAAATCACCAGACAAGTGAAATAATGGTAAGTTTTTGGGAATAAGACTTGAAAAGAAATCCAGTTCCATTCTATTCTTTCTGGTAGTTTCCAACCTGTGCAAAAATATGAGCTGTTATTTTAAT